GCCTCCATGCCCCAGTAGCCGCCGCCGCCGATCGTCTTTTTCGTGGAGGAGCGTCCTTCATTCATCGGCAGCGCAATCACATCTTGCCACTCAGTCGCCTCCTCCAGAAGCGAGGAAGAAAAATTAAAGTCGTGCGATGGGTGTCTTCCGATGACGTAGAGTGTAAGCATCGTGCCGGTGAAGTTGTTTGACACCGTCGCTACACCAGGGAACGTCCAGAGCGTCGTCCGTTGCAGCTGGCGCCGACCCCGTCTCGCATCCATGTCCACCGATGGGATGCCAAGCACAATCAGGTAGTCGCGCTCATCCCAGGTATCGAGAACACTCCTTGAGATGTAGCGGAGGCCTTCAACGAAGGATACCTTGGGGGCCAAGTCATTCTCGGTAATTCGCGACAGCAACGACATAAAGGGACTGNTTTCCACGTTAGAATAATATACGTCTTACTTTCCCTTTAAAACTACAAACCCGCAGAGAAATAAAGGGGAGGAAGTAACATATTGTAGCCCCAATCGCATCCATCCATCAACTATCCTGCATTCAAGGTTGAAATCAATCCTCAAATGGAGAGTCCACCAAAACGTTTCGTTGATAATTAAGAAATCTAGGTTCAAGCGAAAAGAAGGTGCTGAAGGCGTCATTTAACCCGCCTCATCCGCGAGGCGTAATGTCATGGGCTGGTTGGGCTTCCAAAACATACAGTTTGTGCCACACGGCGCATAGATATAAGGGACAAGAAAACGGCAATTGTTTTCCCAAGACAAAACAGGGAGGCAAAACCATTCTTTATGAACTCCATATCGATAATGACAATCATGACAGTGAAAAATAAAGTATCGCCGGGGAGGGGACAGAGCAAAGGAGGGAGCAAGACAGATACAGAGGACGTTCAAGGGTGGCCAGCTTCAGCTAAACAGATAAACAGCAACGGAAAAGAATGCCATACTGCGTGTCTACCAGGGGGCAGTTGCCACACCAACCACACTTTAGCTGAAAAGTAAGAACTTTTTGCTAGATGCCATATTTTCTTTCGCCACCTCTCGTCACTCATTACTCGTACCTTCAGCAGTCGAGCCAGTGACTTCTCTGCGGAACCGCCGAGCCCAACCGCGGCAGCTACAACAGCTGCAACGCAAGCGGCCTAACGACTAGCAGCATGCGTACAACCCACAAAGCAATATATCAGACTAGCGTCCCAAGAAACAGCAAACCTTAAGTACAGCATCCATGAGGAAGCAGTGGCTACCCCGCAGCTATACTCCACCAAAAGAATAGTAAAGGAGACGAGGGGACACATATCACCCGTCCATTACACAGGATACATCCCAGAGAAGCAAAAAACAAAAGCAGTATTTGAACACAACCACTGTAGTCCTCTTATGTGCAGGGCACTCCTATGCGATGTCTGCTGATCCGCTTCCACCGCCTCGGTGAGGCTCCCATGTCACTGCCGAAACGCAGCATCAACTCCTCGTATTCACTTTCCCACAGGCGATGCACCATGACAGAACGCGATCCAACGGAGCTGGTACGGAGACCTTCGTGAACATCATGAAATGAGCATCGGCTCTCCATTGCCAAAATAAGTTTTCTGTCCCGTGTTATTGCCAGTATAAAACCAACCATGACATCCTCATTACCCATACCATGCAGAACATACTCTGGTACCCGAACTGAGCTGTACGGCAAGTGGGCAAGACGCTGCAGTGGCTTGTACGAAATGAGCGACTCCACCACATCTCTCGATAGAGTGTAGCACGGCCCCAAAGCAAAACGGAACCACACAGAGACACTGGCTCCTCTACTCTTCGCAGAAAAAAACGCACCCCAATACAGCTTTCGCCGCGGCAACCTCCGCAGGTCAGCGAGGTACTGCGGCACGCGCAGGAACATGTCGTCGTCACCCTTCGCAATGTAGCTCGCATTGGGGAACAGACGCAGCGCCAGCTCAAACCACAGAAATGTCTTGCGGCTCATTCCAACCTCAGCCTCATTTCCCCAACTGCTATGTGATCCGATCAACTTATTGGCCGTAGTACGCCCCTCATTCATCGGTATCGCAATCACATCGTGCCACTCCGCTGCCTCCGCTTTCAGTGCCGCCGAGTACGTGAAGTTGTGCGACGGGTGCCGTCCGAACACGTACAGCACCAGCATCGCACCGGTGAAGTTGTTGAACTTCGTCGCCACACCGGGGAACCGCCAGCAAGTCGAGCGCTGCAGATAACGGCGCCTCCGCCTTGCAGTGATATCCACCGACGGGATGCCAAAGACAACCAGAAAATCACGCTCTGACCACTTTTGTAGAACACCTTGGGGCAAGAGGGATGTCTGCGGTGTAGTTGTTGTGTCAGTCAAGGGAGTGGATGTATTGGTTATTTTGGGGTCCTCATCAGCATTCCAGTTGTGCTTTATCGAGAAAAGGGGAGAAGGCTGCACGAAGGTCAACACAATGGCGCAGATTCCAAGACTACACGCGGTCAATTTTAAAAAAATGCCCCTACACCTTTTTAGTCGTTGTATCTTCATTACCATGATGTGTCCTGGGCGATGAGTACACAAAGAAAGAAACAGCAAGATAGTGTGGAGAGCGTCACATACGGAACACATATGGCTGCAAATAGAGGCGAGCAGCACGTTCCTGCGTCTGGTGTGGAAGAAGGGCCACAGAAATGTTCAACGCGTTCAAAGCCAAGAAGCAGCAGCCATTCAATTTGCAACACGTAAAGGAGGCGGCATAAATTTTCAATCCATCGGTGTGATTGGCATGTAGGGGGGCAACCTCATCATTGCAATTAACCAAGACACATGAGCTAGACTGCCTTCCTTTAAAAGAACTCGTTTCCTCGTTGTATTTTTGTGTTTTGTGAAGGGGATAGATGTCATGATGCACAATCCACTCACTGCTGTTTTGGTGACCAAATGAACTGCCTTCCTTTCGCCACCCCCCGCCGTTTGATCGCGGACGGAATTGCTAGCATTCATACCGTTTTTTCCAGAGGATTCAACTAGCGGAAACCTTCGCTGTTGCTTCTGCAGGCGCCCCCCACCCCTCTGCTTCCGTGGAGGAGGGGTGGCGTTTGCGCTGTTGGTGAAAGAGTGTGGGGCGGCTCCGCCATCGCGCCAGCACCGTCTTGGTCAGCGGCTTCCTGGGAGAGCGCCGCTGCGTCATCTGCGCGGCGGCGCAGCGGGAGGAATCCGTACCGATACAGAGTGTACGAGGGGGAATAGCAGCGGGGGAAGAGCAACGTAAGCTCATCACCCTCGTCAATCTCAGTGGAGGCGCGAATCACAACGCACGGCACCCCTTCTCGAGTGTCTTCCCCACTGTCACCTGCTGCCTCACTACTCGCACACGGAATCTGTTGAACAGTCATGTTCGTGTTGGGCACACCACCAGGCGGGTGCTGCAGCATGTCCAGCACGGGCAACACGGACGCAATGGTGCGCGGATCAAAGTCGTTCACGCGCAGACGCTTGTGATCCACCACACCAAGTGCCTTGTCCATAAATCCCAATCGCATCTTTTTTACAATACGCGTCCATATATCATCATGATTTTGCATTCGCTTTTCCTCCGTGCAAATGGGCTCCAAAGGGGCCACATGACTCCGCAGTGGGAGAAGACGCTGGCGCGATAGCACAACACGGAAGGCCCACGTAAGATCTTGCATGGAGGGTGGCGGCTGCCGGTGTCTCACCTCGTCGGAGCAGAACGGTGCCGTACTCTTCATGTCCCTCGCCTCACCCTCAGCAGCTACTGCTGCAGGTTCAGTGGAGGACCGGCACGTCTCTTCAATGTGGCGGGCAATATTGTACTCCTCTTCCCACCTTTTATGAATCTGCCGCAGGTAATGCGAGAATCTGTTGCAGTGATCGCTATACTCAAGGTGTGTGCCGGGGTCGAGCACACCCAAGTGGAGCTCTCGAATAAAATCATCATCGAACGGAGAGAGCAGTCGCAGGTACGGATAGAGTGGACTGCGCTCTCTATCTGCTCTCTCGCAGGCGAGAAGCATGGCGCAGTACAACTGATCCACAAACAAGGGGTGTGGCACCGGGTCAAAGGAGGACTTCCTACTGCAGACAGCTGCCTCCACTGTTGCGTACGACGGCACACCGCGGCGTTGCGCCGCCACCGAGTGGCGCTGGAGGGTCTCCGAGTTGAGAACGAGGCCCCATGTTGGACTCCTCGCGGCAACCGTGGAGCTGTCGTCACGCGCCACCTCGTCGAGGGATGCGTCAGTAAGGGGGAGTGCGAAAATGACGTCACCCGCGCGAAACGGCTTGCGTGCAATCACACCCCGTGCATATTGCAACCGTAAGTGCAACTCGACATTCTCCTCCAGCTGCCGCAGGAAAGGCGCATGTATGCGGTCCAGAAGCCGCTCACGCAGCCACGCCATAAAATCGGCTACACTCGCTTCGGGCAGCGTCCCCATGGAATCAGTAGAGATCCAGTTCTCCGCGACGAGACGCTGCTTGCCCAACTTGGGCGAAGTAAGACTTGACGCCCACATGGGCAGCAGCGACTTCGGTGTGTTGTTTGGCACCACTTGCTCCGTCAGCTCGTTGCGTGAGGGGCGCTCACTTGGGTCGCTGAGGAATGAAAACTTCGGCCGGCGGCGTCGTGGTCGCAGCGGGGCAGGTGCTGCTGCTGTCGATGGTGGTGGAGAGTCCTCCACGAACGCCACATCCATGTTCATCCCTGACCGCTGCGTCTGTGTTGCTGCTGCTGCTGGTGGTGGTGGTCGAAGGTGCAATTTGTCGACGCCTTCCTGCGTGGGTGAAACGCTACTTGTTGCGCTCGGCGTCGGCTTGTCTGTCGTCGATCCGTCAGCCGCCGTCGTGGGCGGGCGAGAGCCGGCTCCGTCTGCCGTCCGCAAGGCCCGTCGAGCAGAGGAGAGCGTTGCTGCGGCTCGGCACGCACCGGAGCCGAATCGCATTCCCCACACCCCCACAAGGCGTATGGACCAAGACGACTCCCCGCTCCCTTCCACACCCCCTTCTATCGATGGGCACTTGAATTTTTTTTAAACAAACAAAAAAAAAAGAGCAAACATAAGCAAGCATGCACACACACACAAACAGACACACAGAGAGGCAATATCAAAGTTTTTATAAAACCGCACGCAGCCGTGGCGAAAACACAACTGGATGAAAGCCTAGGAGGTCCTTGTTGATCCGAAGCGTAAAATATATATTTTGTGTGTGTGTGCGAAGTCTGAAGCGACATCTTCACCAGCTTGCTCTCAAACGAATCGGCAGGGACGCAGAAAGAGTGTGTGGCCCCTCGAGCCCGCGTTTCTTTTTTTTCCGAATCCAGCGTTGCTGTTGCTTTTCCCCTCCCCTGCATCCTCCACCCTCTGTTGCCCCGTCTCTCTATTTTCCTTTTTTTTGTGTGTTTTGTTTCGATTAACCTCATACTCTGCGTGTGTCAAGCAGCTCCGCTCACACAGCTTAATAACCCACACTCAGTACATTCGCGTCAACTTCTTCTTCCGCGGCGGTGCCCCGAGGACGTTTGTGTGATCCGCAGCATCGTCAGCGCCAGCGGGGGCAAACGGCACGTCGGGGACCATGGGCTGCGCAAAGGGCAGCTGCGCGAAGCCCGCGCCCACTTTCCCCTGCGCGCCACCTAGTCCCGACGACGCGTTACCAGCTGCTGGTGCGCCGAAGGAAGACGCATTACAGGGCATTAAGTTGGTGCTTGCAGGCGCGCCAAACGCAGAGCTCTGCGGAGTGGCACCGAACGGATTCGAATTGGCGGTGTTCTCCGCCTTCCCCTCGGCGGCAACAGCGCCACCAGGAGCAGCCGCAGCCGCAGCAGAAGTGGAGGCACCTCCGAACGAGAAAGTATTAGAAGAAAAAGGTTCATTCGACGCAGCAGTGGGCAACGTGTGAAAGGGGGAGCCGGACACTTTTCCGCCGTTAGTCTGTGCCTCCGTTGGTTTAGCGTTATTTCCAAAGCTGAAGTTTCCCGCATTCGACGGATTGGTGGAGGTGCCACCAAAAGAGAAAGGACTCTTTGAGACAGCTGCATTGTCAGTAGCAGCCGCAGACGTCTCTGCCAACTTACCAGCACCTCCAAAGGAGAAGCCACCGGTGTTCGGCAGACTCGCCGAAGCTCCACCAGATGCAAACGGGTTCTTTGCCGCTGTGGAGGAGTCAGACCCCGTTGTCGCTGTCGCACCTGTTGTTGCCGTAGTAGAAGTAGCAGGTGCTTCCTCTGATTTCGAGGCGCCGCCGAAGGTGAGGCCGTCAACGTTTGATGAACCCGCGGAAGCACCGCCAAATGCAAAGGAGCTCTTTGTTGTGGTAGAAGCGCCAGGAGCAGCAAAAGCAGGCGGTGCCGTAGTATTCATCGACAAAGGAGCTGGTGCACGACTCTTTACCTCTTCAAAGGATTTCTCTAACACAGCTATAGCAGAGGACTTCTGTCCCACTTCGCTGCGCAGACTGGCAAGATCTCCGCGAAACGATTCAACTAGCGACTGCATCCCCCTCAAGTCCCCCACCGACTGCTCCAACGACGAGTGTCTGCCGTCCAGCAGCTCCACATGCTTGGTCAGCTGCGCCACCTCCACGCGCAGGTCCATTACAGAACGTTGCGTGGCATCCTTCGACCGTTCACTTTCCTCACGGCTTCGCTGGAGCTCCATGCGTGTCTCGTCAACGACCTTGCTCAAGTGTTCATACTGTTCCCGCATCCGCTTCAGCTCCGACCGCAGCACCGCGGAACTCTTCGTTATCTCATTTTCCTCCCCCTCCTCGGTAAGCGCAAGCGGTTCCTTGCGTGGAAGCTTCGCACGCCTGTAGTACTCCAGCGACTCGTCGAGAAGCGTGCGCTCCTCTGCGACGGTGATGGGGCGCACTGGCCCCTGGTGACGCTCCGCGTACGGGTTCACAGCTCCGCCGCCGTTGCCAGACGCCGCTTTGCTACCTGCTGGTGCGGCCACCGCTGCGGTCGCCACAGCGAGGCCGTTGAAGCGCCGCTCACGGTGTGTCAATTCACGTTCTCGCTTCCCACGCACCGGTCTCAGCTGCTGTGATTGGCTCAGCGTCAGACTCTCCATTGAGACGCTCGGTGAGAGAAACAGCGGAATGGGGACCGCACGCTCGTCCTGCAGGTAGTAGTTATTCACCACCGGCGCGGTGGGCAGCGCGCCCCGTCGCGCCGAAACGCCCCTGGAGCCTTCATACGCGTGCAGATCATCAGTGGACGCGTCGTGCTCAATGGCAGGACGAAAGCTGCGCTCACTCATTGCAGGCGCCAATGACACGAGACAGCAGCAACACAAAGAGAATGCACACAAAAACACAAATAAACAAAACACCACTACGTACCCCTTCCTAGTGAGAGATACCTACACGCCTCGCACTCCTACATATGACCAGAGATAATGAAACAAGAGCAGCAGAGTGACCGAGGGAACCAAAAAGGGCAAAGATGCTTTTTTTTTCTCTCCCCGCAACACACACACACACACACA